TTTTTTTTTTTTTTTTTTTTTTGAAAATGATATCGCTTATTATCTTTCGTTTTCCATCGTTTCGCTTTCGTACAATGCCGGCCTTCCTGATAGCAAGTGATATTAACGCGCTGACTGCCACGTTGGTCGCCTCTGACCGGAGATTGTTTCCTCGATGAGGCCATCGTGGTGTTCATCAGTGCTTCAAATGTTTCGAATTAGCCAAATAAAATGAATATACCAAACACCAACTATGGATCATAAATATGGACCATATTTCTTTTATATGTGTTCGGGCCATTTTCTGATGCATTTCGAGACCGTAATATGCTCAACTATGTACACATAATTTCTTCTAGAATCTTCTACATCAAAGACGATTTAGGTTCGTTATCAGCACAAAGAAATTTATTGTCTTATTTCGGATGTTCATGACTGAGGATAACGTCTGCTTTTCCATGCTGACAAGAAGTCCTAACGCCCGCCATCTTCTATCGCGATCGCTAGTTGTTATTCCTGGCCGCTGACTCGCGAGCCTGTTATGTATCCTCTAGGAACAGTTGACATCGATCATTCGATCGATATTTTAATTAAAGCACTTTTTATTTCATCCATAGTTCAGAGCAATCAAACGGCCCGTACTTCACCACGTGACCGACGAAACAAATTTAGTACACGTATATTAAAAACTGAAAAACTTTCAGATTACAGGAAAGAGTATTGCTTTTATTGATATTTGTTACGCAAACAGTATACAGTATAATAATTTTAATTTGTTTTATTAAAACAGTTTAGGCAAAGATGCGATTTCCCTTTGCACGGATCACAGAATGTTGCAACTTTCTTAGTCACGTTTCTAATATCTCTTCCCAACAGTTTTATATTTTCTTCCTAACAATTTTTACAAAATTTTCTGACTTTGATATAATTAATAGAATCGTACCGTAATCTTGCTTACCGCGGAACTGCATCGAACGGCGTAAACGGAAAGATAAACAAAGTACTCACGGCACTTAATGTATTAAAGTAATTAGAACTCGCTAGCTGCGCAAAAATGCCGTCAGCGATGAATTTTATAGAGAGTAATCTCTGTAATTACAACGTCACACGGTCGCGATTTCCTCATCGTTGAATCGTTGCGCTACTTCGCTACACTTTACCAACGCCGGCCGCTATTCCTAAGCCAATCCATAACATTTGGTCCATCGAGCCACAACAATATGTTTGGTGGCTCCCTGAGAACATCATGTGAATTTGCCATGGATTTGGCATGGTTAATTTCTTCCACAACGCAAGCTTGTTGTCGAGCTTCGAGCCTGTTAATTCGCTGCAGCGTCAGGCTAACCTTCGGAGATACTCGATGAACAACGTTGTTGGTTCAACGAGCATCATACGAGAGAGGTGCGAGCGCGGACCTAACGTGGGAGAAAATCTCGTGCTTCTAGATAACGAAATACACGTAGCGCTGGCGTAATCAGTTCCAGCACGTCGCGTCGTTCCACTATCAGACGACGGGTGGTAGTTCCTTCTGAACATCACCTGAGCATCGTCTTCGTTCGTGGTTGCCTTGTAAACGATACCGAAATCCGGGTGCAAAGTTTCGTGCAGCAGCGCGGCAACTGTTGCTGAACCCCCTCCTCACCAGCTGGAAAACTCGTCCCTCTACGGATAAATTTTGGCACGATATCTCTGGCTCGGTTGAACGCATCGAATGTATGTGTGTATGCGTCACCCCTTTGTCGCGAGTCTGCTAAAATTTCGGTTACAAAATCAGTTGACTCCACAATAGTTTGGCCAACTACTAATGTATCTCGAATTTCGTTCCATTGTTGATCCACGATCCGAGATACCGCTTGATTTGTTACACTTTGATAGGATCTGGGATTTAATTGTTGCGAGCGTTAGGAGATAAATATCCATTGTCTTCCTATCGTTTTCGTAGATATTTGGTCATTGATGTTCTTCGGTTCTTTCAATTCTTATATCGACGTAGTAGGTTCAGTATATATCTTTCTATGAGAATTGGCAGCGATCATTTTAGCACAGAGAACATAGTCACGATCGTTCATTAACAGAAAAACTGATGCGCGATACTAGTCGACTTTGCGTATGTTAGAGGCTTGAAACGTTCTGATTAATTTCGCGAAATAACCGTGTCAGAGAGATAAATCTCCGAGTTTCACGGTGACGTAAGATATTTGAAATCCACGAGGAACAACAATTTCAATGAAACTCGTTCGGTTGATAATAATCGCAATTTAGACACGCGGCGTGAAATATATTCCGCGTTATTCGGTTCACTTGACAACTGGCCCCGATGAAACATTTCGGTTATTCGTCAGAACACTACGTTTCGCCGGATTTTTACCATTTTTTTTTTTTTATTTCTTTTTTCGTTGCCCCCCGTTCTCCATTTTGTTTCACCGTTGAAATCGTTTCCCATCGAGCCCCTCTGCGAACCGAAAGTTTTATCTCGCCATTACGACAG